GGGTGGATAATGTGGTCAGCATGATGCTGGCTGTCTTTACTTCCCCAGGACATCCATCCTGGTACTCATTTCAGGCTGGGTCGACCTGTGGCGCCCCATACCATGAGTACCCCATCAAAATCCACGCAGCCAGCAGTGGGTTTTGATTGCGGTACTTTAGAATTACAGTTTGGACTTGCAATGTCTAAGCCACAGACACTCTTTTAGTGGGTGGGGGTGTACATATTGCCTCATAAAGATGATTTTAGGGTTTGCTGAAATCGGATGTGTTGGACCGAAAAGCAGAACAATTTTGGGACGTTGTCCACCTGCATGAACAATTGCAGACAGAATATTTCTCATTGAGCATTTCTGGTTGTGCGCTTCATCCACTAGGGGCCATAAACTAGGATGTCATCCCAAGGTCTCAAAGGCTTCCTGAAAGAATATACCTTAACACAATCTGTGCTTAGCTTATCTTTTAACTGAAGGTCCTTCTTATCTTCTATACCACACTTCTTATTGTATTTTGACTGTACGTGATCATCGTAAGATTAAACACTGAAGATCATTGCACCCCTCTGTGACTGATCAGACAGTCACTGATAGGAAAGGTCAGCCGTGATTGCTGATACTACTGTGGCATGGACGTGGTGTGGGCTTCATTATATATAAAAACTTCAAATCTGAGTGAAGAGATTTAGTAGCTACACAGGTTCACATCTGATCATTTTGTGGAAGCAGATGTGCTAAAGCCGTTTGATTTATACCTTCGTTGGATGTGCAATTTTCTTGCAATTTGAAGAAATTAATTGAGGTAGCTTGTACCTTTAGGTTTTTTTAAGATGCTAAGTTCAGATGTTTCTTGAGTTTTTTTAAAAAATAATCTTTACTTTTCAGGAGCACCATATGTTTGAAATGTTTTTCTTTTTTAATTCCTGCTGTCTATCCTATTTTTTTTTAAGAACAAAAACCCCACCTATTTTTAGCTGTTATTTTAACTGTTGTTAATAACAGTTGTTGTGTTTAGAGTTCATTATAGTAAAACTCGGATGCTATAGGTAAATAATAGACAAGACCAGTCCACTTGTTCAGAGTCAGGTCCGGTGAGAACTCAACTTCTTTTACAACACAGTAAGGTACAGTATTCCTATTGTTTGCTTCAAATAAGGACCCCTGTAACACAGCTACTATATTACAAGTAAGGTTCCTGTGATCCATTCCGAGGTAAGGGGATTAAAGATCCTCTGCTTAATAAAATTCTCTTCTGCTTCAACCCTTGTCAGAAAAACCGAGAGACCTGTAACCTTTATGAAAGCTATCACGCAGCCCAAATCTTCCCTATTTATCATACAACTTTGACTTGATTAAGGTGAGTGCAGACTAGAATTCTCTGTTAGCAGGTTGGACTGCTGGAACAGCTAGTTGTAAACCAAGACTGGCTCCATCTAACAGACCATGCTGCAGTCACCACCAATTGGGCTAACAATATGTTAACACAGCAATTCTCAAACTGGGTGCTGCGGCAATAATCAAGAATTTTCCCCAAATCGGCTCGACATTAAATTTGCACTTTGTTTTTTCTTTCTCATAAATTCAAACCGCTTAAAGGGTAGGGGTAGGAATGCCACAATTTTTTTTGGTCAGACGAAAAAAGTTTGAGTAACACTGCATTAGCCCAATTTAGTGACATCGACAGCATGGCCTGTCAGCTGGAGCCGATCTTGCTGTAAACCAAAACAACAGGCCAGTTACCATTTTAGAGGCAGGTGCAGGTTATCACATGAGCATGTGTCGATGTTCATGAACTTTCCATCTAGTAACTTATTCAGTAGCTAGCCACTCAACTCTCATATATTGGTTTCTTCTGACATATTTCATTGCTTTATTGATTCTGTCTCAAACAGTAATTACTTTTGCGGTATTGCATCTGTGGATGGCAAGGGTTAAACAGCGGTTTTCAGCCTGTGGGTCACGACCCTTTCACATGGGTTGCGTAGGACTATCAGAAAATACATTTTTACTAAAGCTAGGAAGTAGTAAACGAAACTAACTATGGTGTGGGGTCACCACAACATGAGGAACTGTATTAAAGGGTTATGGCTTTAGGAAGGTTGAGAACCACTAAGTTAACATGAACAATGTTGTTGATGAAAGATTCGGTTATGACTATCTCCGGTGGAAGTTATGTTACATTTTTGTGTGTTTGACCTTAAAATGCATTAGGCACGTGTTGTGGTTTACAGCTAGGATGTGATATCATATCTTTTAGGCCTAACATATCCGATTCAAGCAGAACCTGAATTATTTGTCTTTTACAACCTGCTTGGAAAAGAGCGGTGGGTCGTAATAATGGGGCCCTTGAACCCTTTAATATTGTTTTGTAATGAACCCTTAAATTAAAAATGCTTTGTAATTCCTATAGGGGTCACTAATTAGCATAGTCATTGACCGTGATATTTATATGCAACTGGGATCATTGTTGTAGGTATATGCACATGCACAGATACTTTTGACTCCTTCAGTATTGAGCTGTTTACTATCTGTTTGATTCTACTTAAATATTGATGTGTGTCCGAAATCAGGTTTGTCTCAACTCCTTTGGGCTAAGGGAAACATTGGGGAGGATACCAGCCTCATCCTAGGATAAGAAATGCAACCCGAAAACCTAATGTTGTGATAGGACAGATGCAGCTTGTTGCAGCTAAGGACCAGTTCATGTTATGGTAGGACAGACCAGCTTGGTTGGCAGCTTGTCTAGGACAGTTCATGTTATGGTAGGACAGGCCGTGCTTGGTTGGCAGCTTGTCTAGGACCAGTTCATGTTACGGTAGGACAGACCAGGCTTGGTTGGCAGCTTGTCTAGGACCAGTTTATGTTATGGTAGGACAGGCCGTGCTTGGTTGGCAGCTAGCCGGTTAAGGACCATAATTGTAAAGACTGTTGCCCAGACCGCATGATAATTCTCTTGGCCTGCTTTGTTAACTCCCTAAGAAAGGTGGTACTAATACGTTTGGAGCAGAAGCGGCTGGATCAGAAGAGAAGCACTCTGTCCACCTGTGAGAGCTTCCTTGCTAGGCCAGCTACTAACCAAGACTTAGTAAGGGGTTGATAATGGTATGACAAGTAAGCACCTCTCACATAATGTCATTTTATGACAGTCTTCTCAGATCAGACAGACAGCTGTTTCTCGTTAATAAAAAGTTAAAAACTTACTGCATTAAAAAATGTTTGGCTTTAATGACAAAATGATGAAAGGTATATTAGCATATATAGCAAAATTAAACAAAGCAACTGTTACGAAGCTAGCATTTCCTAGGATTGTAAAGATAAGAGGGTCGACTCCAATGCATTGGGTTTTATCCTGTATGGCTAAGTCTCTCTCTGGGGAACAACGAGAGCGTCGCACAGAGTATGGCATCTATAGCCCCACTGACGATCCACTGGGATCTCCATAGAAATTGCACTCTTCAACCGAGCCCCGCTGCCATGAAACCAACCCGCTGTCTTCAGAGTGAGAGGCAAAAGGCTTGGCCACTTTATCAGAGGAGACCCTTGGGATCAGAAAACAGAAGCCGCCATAGAGACACTTATCCTGTTCATAGGGAAAAGTTATGATCGCAGTATGCCATGATAGCAATATTCTTTTGCATTCACCCTCAACAGAATGGTTAGCATGTATTGTGGTTTACAGCTAGTCGTGGGCATGTCCAGTTTCAGTAAACCCCTAAATGGTTACTTTTTACGACATGCTTGTAAAAAGGCAGTGGGTCTGTTCTGACCCACATCAGAAACCAATTTTTCTAAATATTTAAATTCTTTTAGGGGTAGTGTCCACAGATCTTTCAAGCAGTTGAATGCCTACCAATTGCCTTTTTATTCTGATTACTTCAGGTGCATATTTATATGTGCTTTATTTAATTCTATACACACCTGCTATTATACCTTTTAGATGTTGAAAAAAGTCATTTGTGTGATTTGATCATACTTGCCAGTCAAATGGTTTGAAATAGTCATTTGTCAAATGGTTTGAAATAGTCATTTGTGTAGTTCGGTTTTATCACACTTGCCAGTCAAATATTTTAAAATAGTCATTTGTGTGGTTTGGTTTTATCACACTTGTCAAACGGTTTGAAATAGTCATTTGTATGTTTTGGTTTTATCACACTTGTCAATCAAACGGTTTGAAATAGTCATTTGTATGTTTTGGTTTTATCACACTTGCCAGTCAGATTGTCACATTCACATAATTATTATTTGTATATTATTTTTTACTTTTCTATAGTTTCTCTTAGTGTACATTGTCATATTAGCAATGGAACATTGTCTGTGTAAACTCATCAGAACAGCTGACCGCTCAGCTTCGCTGATGAAAATTCACTGTCGGAATCACTTTCAGAAAAATCTAAATTGTTATTATCATTATCCGAATTAAAATCATCTGACAAACAATTTCAGAGCTTTCGCCGCAGAAAGATGCATTCTGCGATCTGTACTTGTGGTTGAAACATTGGTATTCATGGCACTCAAAAAACAAACTTAGGGAAATGCACCATTGAACAAATTTCACTGCTAATCCGTTCAAATTATTATACATGTGTGGTTTAGATAATAAATAAAACTAAAAAGATTCCAGCGGAGTGACTTTCCCCTGAATAGTTGAATCGTACTTTTGAACATCCAAAACAAGTACACAGCTGTGTGTGAAGCAAAATGTACAGGACACACGATCGACGATGGCAGCATTGTTTAGGCAAAACAGAACTTCTTAAATAATGCTCACACTGTTGCTTGGGCGTCAAAGAGTTAAAGAAACCCTAAAATGAACATTGCTGAGAGAAGCCAAGGGTGCTGTGCTGGATTTCATCCATGATGTTTATAGGAATGAACAGGAAAGAACAGAATAAAGGAATGAGACAGCGAGCCAGCCCTGTGTGACATAGAAATGGCGTGACTGAAAGATGTTTTCATACGTTTGCTTGTGTTGTCTTTTCCCAGATTGTTTCTTGAAATCCAAATAAATGCCTGCCAGAGTGCCACACGATGAGCCCCTGTGCAACGGGGGTGCTCTTGGGGACGGCCCACACAACAGACTGGGCCCCCATCTTCCAGAGTTTGTATACAATGGAGAAGTTGCCATCAGCGGTATTTCCGGCCGCCTGCCGGAATCAGACAGCATTGCAGAGTTCCGTGAACATCTGCTCAACAAGGAGGACATGGTCACAGAGGATGATCGCAGATGGACAGTTGGTGAGTAAACTGTTTTCTTGATAGTAGGTCAGAGGTCTTGATAGTAGGTCAGAGGTCTTGATAGTAGGTCAGAGGTCTTGATAGTAGGTCGGAGGTCTTGATAGTAGGTCAGAGGTCTTATTGGTAAGTCAGAGGTTGAAGACCAGGGCTCGATTCTCATTAAGGGTTGTAGTTTTCTCTCTGGGGCAGAAATTAAAATCCTAACCTGCGCAGTTCATGGCAGCTGCACTAGTCACATGCTGTGTCAGATATTGAGGCTCATAGACCCTCTGGTCTACACCGCTCTAAAAATGCAAGCATCATGAGTAGTTAGAGGATTTGTGAAAAATCATTTGGAAGCGTTCGTGAAAATGTGGGTTTATTGACAAATAATAAGAATGCCCTGGACAGATAAAAAGATTAATGATGTCTTGAAGGGAACTTTTGCTCATATCAGGAGGAGACAGTCTCTAGTAAACAGTGTAAATGACAGTAGTAGAAGCAAAGGCACAGGAGAAGATCAAGGCAGCAGTAGAACTCTTTAAATTTACATGACCACACATTTTTTTGATCCCTTGGAATTCAGTGTTAACAAGGCTGTACTGTATATTGGGTCTGCTGTTTTTACTTTCCTACTGGAAATTATTTCATTTTTAGTTGCACGCGGAAAGGGGGGGAGGGTGGGTTCACTTCTCCTAGATTCTTCCACAGGACCAGTGGGTGGATACCCTCTTTTTATTTCTGCTTTTAATATTGTAAAAAGCAATGCAGTCAGCATGTGTTGAATGTTGTCTGTGTACTACACAGATGGTCATTGATAATTTTGTACTGTAAAAGTAAAGTAAAAAAGACTTTCCACACACATTTTTGAAAATAGTCCATGGCTTAGTTCGGTACTGAACCCACAGCTTTCCGATCTGCAGGCGAGCATGATCTGTTGAATAAAACATCCTATGACAGAAAAATTGGGTTCCTTATAATCTTACCCCAGATGACATCACAGGACATGAGCAACATTTTAGATGGAGATAAGACTGGGTTTCCCGGTTTTCTGACCCCAAAACACCAAGAACTGGCCCTAACCCCAATCTACCTACGTCCCGCAAGAGTGCAGCCTAGGTCCCACGACTGCATGCAGCCTATCTACCCCCTGAAATACTAGACTTCCCTGACCTGAGGATTTGCCCTGTTTGGGGAAGGATATTAATAAAGCACCAAGAATTGTTTCAGTGTGTTGTAATCATGTAAATTGAAGTTACTGAGTTGACCATACCTGATTGTGGTTTTATCTTTCAGGTTTGAACGGGTTGCCCCCAAGAAATGGAAAAATCAGAGAGTTAAAACATTTTGATGCTGGCTTCTTCGGTGTCCACCCCAAACAGGCAAACTGCATGGACCCGCAGCTGCGTTTGTTGCTGGAGGTTGCCTATGAGGCCATTATTGATGCTGGTAAGTGCCCTCTCTCATGTCTGTCTAAATCCTCTTCATTATTCCTGTTGACATATAATGCATTCAGAAGTGATCTCCATTGCTAGTTTGATCTGGTCCTTCTTCTCAAGACCTGTCTGGTTGGTTAAAGCTGTCAGGGGCACAAGTCTCCTGTCTGGTTAGCTCTCAGAATCATTGGAACACAAAGCTTTTCAATCACCACAAGGCGCTGAAAAGGGCATCCATCCATGTGATGGCTTCTTATATATTTTTGTCTTGGTAAATCCATCTGTATGTTTTCAGGATGCCATTCTGTGTGCATTTATTAGTTTTCCTTTACTTCTCACATTTGGTAATACATCAGATCTTCATATAGTCAATGCTGTCTGGCGTTGGTAGTCATGTCTAGCCACATCCTTCTGTCTTATGCCTATTACCACCACCACCACACGGCATGGACTATAAGAAGCAGCTGCAGTCTCTTCTATGCTCACTTCTAAACCAAAGAGCTGCATGTTTGTAGATAAGAAATGATTTCATTGTGCATGTGTTGTATAAATTTTCGAATGATGATTGAATCCTGCAACGCGCGTGAAAGTGGGAGGCCTGTACTGTTATGTCAAAAAACAAATCAGGAGGCTGGTAACCTTTGAGAAAGCTATCTTTCAGTCCATATCTCACTGTGTACCAAACAGCTCTGAAGTCTTAACTGATTTTGTATATTCTTGTTTGTATTAGTGTCCAATTCTATTTGCTATTGAAAGCTTTTTAGCTGCAGTTCAGTTTAGATGTGTTTGTGGTTTTGTAAAGCTGATAAGTTTGCTTGTCATTTATTTTGTTGTTGTTTTCTTAAGGTCATTTGTGTGTTGTGCTTTCCACAGGTCAGAGTTTGGAGAGTGTGCGGGGCTCTAGAACCGGTGTCTACATTGGTGTCAGCCAGTCGGAAGCTTCCGATGCCTGGTCTTTAGATGCCGAAACGCTGGTGGGTTACACCATGCCCGGGTGCTGTCGTGCAATGTTTGCCAACAGGATTTCCTACTTCTTTGACTTCAAAGGTAATCTCAAACGAGTCCTGGTTATTCATCTATTTGGACTTAAGCTTTGTGCCAGGGCCTGAGTTTTGCAGGAACATGTTTTACCGGCCTATATGTGTGCAGTTAATTGTTCTTTACCGCATGGGCAATACACAGATAGATGTATGATTTTTTGTAGGAACAGATACCTACATGGATGCGCGTGTTTTGTGAAATATATGCATAGATGTAGGATACAGATGCATACATAGATACATATGTTTTGTGGAATATACAGATAGAAGAATGAATGATTGTGGAATTAAGATACATGCAAAAATGTGACTCTGAAGGAAGTGCCCAGTTAGTTGACTCCTATGACATGCCTGTTTGGGAAGCAGCAAGCCTGTTTTTGGTTTCCTCTAAATGGGTCGTCGGCTCTGTGGCTAAATCGATGCAAACGCTTCGTAATGCCGGGGCGCAGGGTTTGATCCCAGCTTCGACAGTGGTATCAGGGGCTGACCGTCTAGAAAGAAATGGCAAACTACTGGGCGTAAATTTGCCCACACAACAGCCAGGGGCTGCTAGGGTTGGTTCTGCAACGTCCTGTAAAGGATGCGCAACTAATCTAAATGGTTCACGAGAACCCACACAAGTAGGTCCAGTAACATGTTCATGTTGATGAGAGACCTCTGTATGGGTTTTAGGGGCCACTTTTAGGGAGAAAAGAATAGAACCACTATCATAAAAAGTCTACTTATAAAAGGTGTTTTCATTAAATTCAAAGTGCATCTACCTGAGAGGCAAGTCACCAACAGTCGCAGATAAGCCAGATCTGTAGAATAGGTGTGGATGCAGACAAGACTAATGTTAGGAAGTGGAACTTTCTGCCAGTTGACAGCAATGAACTAAAGAAGTAGAGAATAATTAGTATCTTTAAGTTCTACTTGTTGTTAGTGAGATATTTTATTTAGATAACATATGTTTTAAGGAATACACGGATAGATGTATCATTGTGGGATACGGATATATACATATATATTTTATATACACATGTTTTGTGGGATATTACACAAAATATATTATTGTTTGTAGGATATAGATACATATGTTTTATGAAATACATAGATAGATGTTTCATTGTGGGATATATATATATATATATATATATATATATATATATATATATATATATATATATATATATATATATATATATATATATATATATATATATATCCACAAAACATGTATATATATAATACACACACACACACACATGTTTTGTGGAATATACGGGTAGATAGATGTATGATCGTTTTTAGGATACAGATGCATACATAGATACAAATGTTTTGTGGAATACAGACACATGCGTATATATGGCAGATAATATCGACATTTCCGTTCTGTCTGCAGGTCCAAGTTACGCAGTGGATACAGCCTGCTCGTCAAGTATGATGTGCCTTGACCAGGCCCTGATGAACATCCGCATGGGTCTCATTGATTCTGCCTTGGTTGGGGGCACCAACTTGTGCCTCAAGCCAAATACTTCCCTGCAGTTCACCAGGATGGGCATGACCTCTCCAGATGGCAAGTGCAAGACATTTGATGCCAAAGGTAATATTTTTGTGTTGTGTTAAGCAGAGTTGTTACAATTTTGCTATCTCTCATGAGATGGGTATGTTCATTATCGGAATGTCCCTTGTAAGATGATGAAGTGTTAATGCTCTGCTCAGACGTCAGTCCGGGGTGTTCTAGAACAATTCTGTTAATATTACTTAACTCGCCTGTCTGAGACCATCATCTGGTGCTTCTGCTGTTGTCTTGATCTTCTCTTGTGTCTTTGCTTTTGCTGTTGCCTTGATCCTCTTCAGTGCCTTTGCTTCTACTGTTGCCTTGGTCTTCTTCAGTGCCTTTACTTTGCTTCTATTGTTGCCTTGGTCTTCTTCAGTGCCTTGCTTTTATTGTTGCCTTGGTCCTCTTAGTTGCCTTTGCTTCTACTGTTGCTGTCTTGATCTTCTCTAGTGCCGTTGCTTCTTTAGCCTTGATCTTCTTCAGAGTTTTTGCTGCTTCTACTTTTGTGTTGATTTTCTCTAATGCCTTTGCTTCTGCTGCTGTTTTGATCTTTTCTAGTGCATTTAGTTCTTTAGCCTTGATCTTCTTCAGTGCCTTTGCTGCTTCTGTGGCGTTGATCTTCTCTAATGCTTCTGCTTCTTCTACTGCTGGAGAGGACAAGGCCAATTGTCATGATGTCAAGGGGGGGGGGACCCCCTGCATCCACACACACTTTGCTTGTGTGTTAGTGTCATTTTATTATGATAATACTATTACATTTGTTCATTGCAAAAATCATCATGAGCAAATAATAGGCCGTTGATATGTCTAATAGTTGCGACTTTGTATGGTTTCAGGTGATGGTTACTGCAGAAGTGAGGCAGTTATGGCCATCTTCCTTCAGAAAACTGCAGACTGCCGACGTATCTATGCTACAGTTGTCCACTCAAAGTCCAACTGTGATGGCTACAAGGAACAAGGTATGTACTGGTATCAGTATCATTGTAATGTCACTGATAGACTGCCGACGTATTTATGCTACAGTGGTCCACTCAGTTTCCAGCTGTAGCTACAAGATATGTACTGGTGACTATAGTCGTTATAATGTTACTTTGGTTTGCCACTGACAGAGTGACGATAGTTGAATTAGTGATCGTTTGATTCTCACTTGAGGGTTAGTTGTAGTTGTAGTCGAGGTTTCAACTTTACTGCAGTCAAACTACCCCATACTTGCTCCGCCGCTCCTTTTCCAGTGAAAATCAAATGAAATGTTCCTCATTGTCTTATTTAAAAAAAAAAACTGAACCAAGAAATCTGGCACAATCAAGAAATCTGTGCTTGCAGTAAATGCATATGGTAGCTTCTAGAGGGCCAAAGCCAACAGTCGCCACCAGAAATGTAGTTTGTCATTGATGGAAGTACTGTTCACAATAAGATGGTTGTACACACGTAAAGCTATAATATAAGGTATTTTAGCAGCCCACACATAAACCGGCTACTGACCATTTGAATATGATGGCACAACCGCCGAAGGTGAGTGATGGTGGAAAGTGTCTTTTCTTTCTTGCGACATTTGTGTTGCTCTGGAGAACAACTCAGCAGCCATTAGTCGCTGACAATGCCACATTGGATTGTCTTGTCATTGCATTGATTTTTTCATTTGATTTCCCTTTCAGGTATTACATTCCCATCTGGAGAGCTGCAGAAGCAGCTGGTCAACGAGGTTTACCATGAGATCGGGATCAATCCTCTTGATGTAAGTTTATTAGTGCCTGCAAGAGTCTTTTTGTTCCTCTGTTATTCATCCCCCCATGAAGTGTAGGTCCTCAACCAGCCCTTGCCATATAGTCCTATCCTTTGTTGTTGTCTACAGTTAACTCCAAGCCACATTTATTGTCTTCAGTTTACACCTAGCCACATTCATTGTTTACAGTTTACACCAAGCCACATTCATTGTCTTCAGTTTACACCAAGTCACATTCATTGTCTGCAGTTTACACCAAGCCACATCTGTTTCGTTTCTATTTTCTAATTGTTTTTTTTTTTTTTAAAAATGTATTTTAAAAACCATGTTGGTTCAATTTTAATGACATTCTAGAGTTATAAGGTTTTCTAAATTGCTCCTATCCACACCCCCGTGTGGGTTCCGGGGCCCCATTGTGGGGAAAACAAGAATAGACCCACTGCCTTCCCAAAAGCATGTTGTAAGAGTCGACTAATTGGTGAGCTTCCTTTGAAGTCGGAGTGCATCTGCCGGAGAGGCAAGGAACCAATAGTCTGTATTCAAGAGAATGAGATCTGTAAAACTGATGCACACGCAACACTCAGGTTCTGGAGCAGGACTGCAGTTCAGTAGTGGACGAGCAACCAGAACTTTCCGCCAGTGTACAGCTGGTGAACGCGAAGAAGAAGAAGCAGCTCCTATCCACATACATTAAAATATATGTTATATTCTTGTTTATTGTTCAGTTTTTTTGTCCCAGTTTGCAATAATAATTAGGAATTTGCAGGTTGTTGTATTTTTGTTTCTGAAAGCCAGTAACATAACTATATAGTTTTCTTCTTTTCTGTTTGTTAGACATGTAAAAAAACAATACACTATATTTCATTCTGCTAGTCTAGAATTATAATAGTGTTAATTTTTTTTATAATTCTGTAATATTATAATTCTATATGTATCTCACTCTACTAGCCTACTGTAATACTATATTATGTATCCGATTCTACTAAACTATAATACTACTATAATGTTTATTTCACTTTACTAAACTGTAAATGTAATCTTTTATAATATGTATTTTAAGTAATACTCAGTGATAGGTCTTTCACTTCATCAAACCATTTGTAGTATGCTGTAATGTTGATCTTTTCTTCTGCCGAATTATCTAATTTCCCAAACTATCTCTCCACTAAACTGCACTAACATTTTTATGCTACTGTAATGTGTATCTAACTACTAAACTATAATTGTAGTAGGACTGTAATGTGTATCTCTACTAAACTATAATTGTAATACTGCTCTAATGCGCTTCTACTGTTAGTTTCATATACTATAAGGACATTCAAAACCAACCCCAGCAGTAGTTTGCCATTGCTTCTAAACGGTCAGCTCGCAATACCACTCTCAAAACCAGTGCAGCTGGGATTGAACCTGGCATTACGAAGCACGTTCACACCTTAGCCAAGACAATTACTACTTAAATGTGCATGTACTATTTATTCTTAACTGTAATTGTAAAATTGCTGTTAATATGTACCTCTAGATCGCCTACATGGAAGCACACGGTACAGGAACCAAAGTAGGAGACCCACAAGAGACCAACAGCATTGTGGATGTGTTCTGTAAGGGAAGGAATGGGCCTTTGCTTATTGGCTCTACCAAGTCCAACATGGGGCATCCTGAACCTGCATCTGGTAAGCTGTTTTTTTTCTTCCAGTGTAGGAAAACATCTAATGAGAATATCTCTCCCCAGATGGGTTTCGGTTCCTTATTTTGTGGGGAAGAAAAGAATAGACCTACTGCCCCCACAGCAAGCATGTCATAAAGGGGTTTATTGAAATCGGTGGAATGTGTTAGGCTAAACGGCATCGTTATCACAGTCTGTCTGTGAACAACAGTGTCAAAACTGTCATTTCAAGGGATCATTCCTTTACAGAAATGTAGCTATCATCACAGCCCGCTTGAATGACACTCGGGAGTCTCATGCCAGCTCTTCTGCCTGATGTGTTTTTGTACCCAAGGTGTCTCATACATCCTGTGACCATCTTCATTTTGTTCAGCCCCTGCCCCTCTTTCCTTCCCAGTACTGAGGCTTCTTCTGTTTTTTTCCCCCCCATTCCAGCATGGTGCTTGATGTGGCCACAATAGGCACCATGTGTCCCCATGGGTTCCGGGACCCTATTATAGGGAAAACCAAAAAAATATCCAGTTTACCCAAAAGCATGTCGTAAGAGTCGACTAATTGGGAGCTTCCTTTGATGTCGGAGATCTGTAAAACGAATGCACACACAACACTCAGGTTCTTGAACAGGACTGCAGTCCAGAAGTGGATGAACAACCAGCGAGAGTTAACAGCTGGTGAACGCAAAGAAAAAAGAAAACACGATTTTAGTTTAACAGGTTGCATGACAAATTTTAACAGCTCACATCGAACGATTACCAAGTTTAAAAAAAAGTTTTGCAGGACTACCGAAACAAACTATAAAAATATGCTATAATTGTTTTGATTTTTAAAAACCCCTCTCACAGGTCTTTCATCCATCGCCAAGATTATTGTTGCTATGGAAGAGAGAGTGATACCTCCCAATCTTCACTATGAGACTCCGAACCCAGAAATACCTGGCCTGACTGACGGCAGTCTTCAAGTGGTCACAGAGTGCACTCCCTGGAACGGAGGTCTTGTCGCTATGAACTCGTTTGGGTTTGGTGGTGCCAACGTTCATACAATCTTCAGGTAAGCTTTGCTACCTAAACAAAATAATTTTAAGCTTTTCTTCTTCCATTGTAATGTGACTTCTAATTCATTTTATAACCCATGGACATGTCTGGAGTGCAGTGATGATAACCTAACTAATTTATAACCAGAATGCTGTTTTCAAATTCTCGGTGGCAACTTATGGATGTGTGTCGTGGACTCGGTCACTGTAAAAGAAAAATCGGAGCTTTTAAAAGGGAATGCTACAGAAAGGTTCTTGAAATACTGTGGGCTAAAAGGAGGGGAAAAAGTGCTTTAAAAAAGTGTTTTGAACATGTAAAAGTGCCATCCATTGGTGGCCTGGAGAGAACTGTAATGGAGGATGCAGTTCTGGGAAACAAGGCAGATTCCCACCTCCAAAGGTGGATACAGGACATTAATGCATTGGCAGTGAAAGCACATAGGGCTTTAGAAATAGCTAGAGAGAGACTTTTAGGCATACTGTGAAGAGAACGATGTTCTGTAAAAGACATGCTGATTGATGATGATGATGTAGGTAAAGTAAGTAATGGACCCTTTTGCACGCCTTCAGGCATATAGGGCTAGACCTGTATTTTTTATAGACCAATCAGCATCACAACAGCCGCCTCTACTACTGGGACTGTAACAACTCAAGGCTAGGTTGACCTGGGAGCCAGGGCTTTTTTTAAAAAAAAAGTCCGGCTCCGCCAGGGAGCAAAACCACGTCCTTCTGATCCCCGCCGAGAGTCTAGCCACTCCGCCACGAGGACTTTCTGAAAATGATGATAATGATAGAAAAAAAGAGTAAAAAGTAAATACGCAGGTTGTCCCATTTGTTTCCACACACATAGGAAAAATTCCCATTGTTTTCAAAACATTTTGATGCGTGTCTTCTACTGCTAAAGAGCACTTATAAGCACAGCTGGAGTTATGCCTATAGTGGCTCTCTGTGTTGAACTCAGAGTGCAGCTGCATGAGTGACAAGGAACAACCGACTGCAAACAAACAAGCCAGTCAAACGGATGTACAAGCAAAACTCAAACCCTGGCACAAAGTCAGTCCTATTGACCAAATATTTCTAATCTTAGGTCCCACGACAAAGAGTTCACAGAGCCTCACGTGGCAAGCGAGAAGCTGAGACTGTTCACCTGCAGTGCCCGTACAGAGGAGGGTGTCAAGAAGATCCTGGCCGAGGCCAGGAAGAATGCCAAGAGCGTGGAGTTCCAGGCTCTGATCCAGGAGTCAGCAAACCTGCCCACCAACATGGTCCCTTACAGAGGCTACACTGTTCTCAATGCCCCCTCGGAGGTAGAGGAGGTGCAGGTGAGTGTCAGCATGTAAAGTTGGCATGGGTCCATGTTTATGTCAAGTTAATTTAGGCTTGTGTTTATATAAAGTTGGGAGGTGCCTGTGTTTATGTAAAGTTGGGAGGTGCCTGTGTTTATGTAAAGTTGGGAGGTGCCTGTGTTTATGTAAAGTTGGGAGGTGCCTGTGTTTATGTAAAGTTGGGATGGGTAAATTTGTATGTGATATTGGGATGGGTTTGTATTTCTGTTGAGTTAACATGAGTCTGTGTTAACACAAAATTGGGGTTAGTTGTGTTAACATGAGATTGTTAACAAAAAATTGGGGTTGGTTGGGTTAACATGAGTCTGTGTTAACACAAAATTGGGGTTAGTTAACATGAGTCTGTGTTAACACAAAATTGGGGTTAGTTAACATGAGTCTGTGTTAAAAAAAATTGGGGTTAGTCGAGTTGACATGAGTCTGTGTTAACACAAAATTGGGGTTAGTCGAGTTAACATGAGTCTGTGTTAACACAAAATTGGGGTTAGTCGAGTTAACATGAGTCTGTGTTAACACAAAATTGGGGTTAGTCGAGTTAACATGAGTCTGTGTTAACACAAAATTGGGGTTAGTCGAGTTGACATGAGTCTGTGTTAACACAAAATTGGGGTTAGTCGAGTTGACATAGTGTGTTAACACAAAATTGGGGTTAGTCGAGTTAACATGAGTCTGTGTTAACACAAAATTGGGGTTAGTCGAGTTAACATAAGTCTGTGTTAACGAAAAATTGGGGTTAGTCCATGTTTATGTAAAGTTAGGATGGCTCCAGATGTAAATTTAGTATAGGTCTGTGTTATTGTAAATTTTGAATGGGTTACTATTTATGTAAAATTAGGATGGGTCACTTCATGTAAAATTAGCATGAGTCTGTGTTTATGTAGAGTGGGATGGGTCCATGTTTATGTAAATTTGGATGGTCTGTGTGTAGGTTGGATTAGTCTATGTTTATGTAAAGTTGAGTTTGTTATTCATATTTGTGTTTTGTAAATTTGGGACGGGTCTGTTAATGTAAATTATGATGGGTCTACATTTATGTCAAGTGTGGATGGACCCATTTGCTGAGGTGTCTGATAAATTAGCCAAACTACTGGACGTAAATTTGCCCAGAGAAACGACACAACAGCCAGGGGCTGCTGGGGTTGGTTTTGCAACGTCCTGTAAAGGATACGCAACTAACCTTAACCTGATAAATAAGCAGCAGTGGCAGAGTGGTTTAGTATGTTTGGCTGCTGAGACAGTGGTCAGAGTTCAATCCACAGATGTTGCTGGGATGTAGTTTTTATTTTTGCTTTTGTTTTAAACAGGTATCGCCAATAAAAAGCATGTTTATCATTGCTCTGGAAATAGCACGAAAAATAACTTTTAAAGCTCTGATTGGCAATCACGGTAGACAGTATAAGTTAGTTTTTTGCTTTATGTCTTAATTATCTCTATCCTTTCCTAAATGTTGTTTCCCCTCTCTCCCCAGAAATGCAGTCCAGACTATCGCCCTGTGTGGTTTGTCTTTGCTGGGATGGGCACGCAATGGCACGGCATGGGTAGACAGTTAATGGAGCTGCCAGTGTTCCGGGATTCCATTCTGCGATCCACAGAAATCCTCAGCAGATACGACATCAATCTTTACGATCTGATAATGACTGGGGACGAGTCTACTTTCGACCAGACCATTCCATCCTTTATTGGTATTGCTTCCATCCAGGTGAGTCTTGTTTGTTGAATGTGAAACGGTTGAGAGTCAATGTATTTGTATGCCTGGGCACCAGTCACAGAGTGCTAGTTGGTTTGTAATGATGGTTCCCAGTTAGCCTTATAAAACTTGCAACCTTTTTTTGGGAGGGGATGATGTGTTTTCATACCGAAGAACTTTTATATCTAAGACTGGCATCAAGGATTGCAGTCTAAAACTGAGGTGTTTTTGTGTGTATATAAATATCACGGCTGATCCTGTGAGCCCCTTTCACCAAGGACAAAATATGAACCTGTGGGAAACCCCAGGAAAAAATAGTTTTAAAAACATTTTAAACAGCTACTAATAAATTAAAAAAAATGGTTCTCTATATTTTGAAAATTTTTTTTGTGTGGAAATATACAAAACTATGTAAGGGAATCAGTAACTATCAGCATAGTGAAGCATTATATGGAATTCTTACAGACATAAAATAATTATGTAATGGCTGACTAGGGCTTATGTGGAAATCTGACATGAATATGGCTCTAAAAAAATACTATTTGATTCACAGGAAACCCCACCCCTTCCCTGAATGCTATTTTTAGTTAATATAATCATATCAGGACTTCCTAAATGCAGCACAGGTACAACTAGAACCAGTGGAATTTAACTACATGTGTTTTTTAATAGGTCAGCAGAAAATCGGATGCTTTGGCATTTACAGGAGTGTTAATTGCTCAACTGAGAAGCAGCATCACAGTACTCGGGACACTCCTATAGGTACTCCGTCGCTATCTTAAACAGCAAGTGTAGAGTTCCAGTTCAATTCTGTTAATTTAAATTGTTTACGTCCTTCTTAGGACGTAATTTTTTGTTTTTTGAAGCCCCACTCTGGCTTTTGCCAGGGGCCGCAATATAGGCAGGTCATCATTATGGCCAAATGTCTGAACGCGGTTTCGCTCCATCCTCATCCGCATGGTGGCACTTTGTCATCGGGTGTTTATCGCTTGTGTGATGTCCTGGTGGGGTAGAAATTCAGTCAGTCAGTTCCAGTTCTGATTGCACCAGTAACTGTCTGATCGTATATCCAATTCACCTTGAGTGCTGAGCGCTGGCCAGGACCATGTTAACCCCTCGCAGTACCATTCTCCTCAGACCATAATGATCTATTTGTGCTTCCGCACTGTTCACTCGCTTCCAACTGACCATCACATCTAGTTTGTCCTAATTCAATTCACCACCAAGGGGTGCAGAATCGGCCAGTCTATCTGCCTGCTCATTTCATATCACACCAGCATCACCTGGAGAAAATATCCAGAGGACACTACCTACCTGCAGCAGGAAATTACTAGATTTTTTGTTTTCTCGCGGTAGCAGGGTTACGTTTGTTCTGCAGTCCCTAACTGCGAGAAGACCCGTTTATTTATTAGGATAGGTTGGTGCCGAAATATTGGAAAAAATAGGCCTGTAACGTCTAAGGTTTTCAATGACCCCTTGACAGGTTGCCCTTGTGGATCTGCTGACTTCCATGGACATCAAGCCTGACGGTATCGTCGGTCACTCAGTGGGAGAGCTGGGCTGTGCTTATGCTGACGGGTCTCTGACAGCAGAAGAGACAGTACTGGCCGCCTACTGGAGAGGCAGATGTATCTCCGAGGCCAAGCTCCCTGCAGGAAAAATGGCTGCTGTTGGTGAGTGGAACTGATGTGACTTTAGAATAGTTTGTAGTAGGGAGGTTGTTTCGTAATAGCTAAGAATCGCCGACCCTGTCGTTTTCAATGCTGTGTCATGGAGCCATACTGAAGAACATAATTTAGAAATATTGGAATCATAAAAATGGATTGCTTTTTCAAGTTGAGAGTTTGCTTTATAAATATCACAGACCTGTTAAATTTGTTCTGTGGAACAAATGGGAAATCTGTCGAAGAGAGCTATCTTAGCGGAAACACCAGCCTGCCAAGACAGTAGTTTGGGTTCAGTTACCAGCAGTTATCTCTGAGAAAACAGTGACTGTTGAATTGACATCTGAAAACATGGATACATGACAGTTTTCATAATTCTTTATGATTAACTCTTCATGTTTTTAGTCACCAGCGAAGAAATATGCTGTCTAAAACACTTGTCACATATATCAACATTCTATCGTTGATTAAAACACAGGTGTGACACACCAAAATAAATGAATTAAAAAAAAAATATTTGGGAAAACAACTAAAACTCTTGACTAGCAAAGCATTAAATGGAACAGTGGATGCTTTGCTAAAGTCTGAAAAACTTGTAATTAAACAAGACGATGACGAATAGACTGAGCTGTTTTTCTGGTGGTACACAGCACAGACACCCTAATGTTTTAAGACATTGTTGTCTCAGTAGCGGACACTTAGCAGTCAGTACTAATATTACACACATACAAAGCGTGCTCATGCGCACACCATTTTTTTTGTTAAACAGAAAAAAATCCACCTGCCAGTTGGACGGCCATCTTTATCAGGAATCCGTCTAAATGCTGATTGCAGGCAGTAAAAATGTGTTGAAAATAATGTTGTGTTTTGAGCAGGTTACAGAATATATACATTACTCTTTGTTTCAACAGGATTGTCTTGGGAGGAATGCAAAAAGCTGTGCCCACCAGGTGTCGTCCCAGCCTGTCACAACTCTGTGGACACCGTCACCATCTCTGGGCCCTACGAGCCCACCACCAAGTTTGTGGAAGAGCTCAAGGCTAAAGGCATTTTTGCCAGGGATGTCAAGTCGTCCAACGTAGCCTACCACTCCTACTACATGAACGACATTGCTCCACAGCTGAAGGCTGCTCTCGTCAAGGTTCGTGTTTTCTTCATCATCATCGTTTTCACAATCGTCGTCATAATTTGTTTCTGATTTGTAGGTTAGCTTTGGTGAGTGTCCGTGGTCTTCATTATGCAATCATACAGGTTTCTCCCGTTGTCTCTTGATGTATTTTTACCCAATTATAACATTGTTTTCCTTCGCGTTCGGCCTCCATTTCTTTTTTGGGAGACCCCTTAAAATAGAGCTCAAACAGTTCTTCTTAACGTTCACTGGATGTGAAATCAGGCAGAAAGTTCTGGTTCACTTTTGGACTTTGGTCGTTTCCAGAACTTGAATTTTGTGGCACATCCCCCTCCCTCCCCAACCCCAGATCTGGCTTATTGGTATGCAGACTGCTGGTTTCTTTGCCTCTCGGACAGATTCACTGCGAAGAAAACATTTATAATTAGTCACCTTGTATGACTGATCTCTCGGAGGATTCGGTCTCGGAGGATTCGGTCTCGGGAGATTCAGTCTAAAATTGGAGGAACCAAGATATTTATTGGGGAGTGAATGTGGCCAGTATTGAGATATAACATACCCACTAAATATATTAAGTGGCTGGAATTGACAGCTGGTGAGCCCTGAGAAGGGGTGGATAAACAGTAGCTTGTCCTTGCATTATTAACAGGGCAAGAGAGACGGATCTGTATTACTAGCTTCTTTTGTAAAGTAGGCACCTGATTAATTGAAAGAGTTTTGTGCAATGTCTTACAGGTAATCACACCGAAGAAACGCTCCCCCAAGTGGATCAGCACATCAGTCCCGGAAGCCAGATGGGGAGAGGAGCTAGCCCAGTACTCCTCAGCGGACTACCACGTCAACAATCTGGTTAGCGCAGTGCTCTTCCAAGAAGGTCTTCAGAAGGTCCCCAGTAATGCCATCGCCATCGAGATTGCTCCTCACTGCCTGCTGCAGGCCATCCTGAAGAGGTCGCTGGGTGCAGATGCTGTCTTTGTTGGGCTGATGAAGCGCTTCCATGAAGACAACCTGGAGTTCTTTTTCTCCAGCTTGGGCAAGTGAGTATTGTATGGAAGGGCTTGTTGAGGTTATCATTTGCTTAGAACAACTCAATTGGGGGTTGTATGACCATTTCACAGTCACCTACAGTAAGTCAGTAAACACTGAATTTGTTAAGAAGCAACGAAAATTATTTGTTGGGGGGGGGGGGGGGGGGGGGGGGGGGGGGGGGGGGGGGTTTTAGGGGTCAGACGGGGGGCTGGGGGGGGGGGGGGGGGGCTATCTTGTTGGGGGGGTTACACAAACAACTGTTGTTACTGTATTAACAGGTTGCAGTATGAGGACGATATGAGAACCGCTGGTTTAGACTTTTGTTTAGGCTCAGACGGAGCTTGTGGTTTAGGCATTGCTAACATGCTTCTTGTTGCGGGGGTTCAATCTGTTGTATAGGCTCTTCCTGTATATGTTTTTTTAACGCTGTTATCTTTTCTTTTTAATGCCATTTGATACTGACATCATCTTTGTCAGTTGCCCAGTAGGAGGGGAGGAGCAGGTGCAGTCCTGGCTGCTGGCGAAGAGCTGGCCTTTTGAAAAGCAATGACAAACTACTGAAATTAAATATGCCTAGAAAAACAAAAAGGTAAAGTCGGGAGATGTGAACCAGCGTCATTGCACAACGGTTATAAACCATAAGTGCTCTGCCACCAGTAAGGACAACTGATAAGAATTGTCCGCATGTGTTGCCGTTAGCACGTAACTGTAGCTACAACGACGTTCCTCCATTTACCTCAGAGTATCACTCTGGTACCCATTTCTAGAGGCTGGGTGAACTCCGGGAGCTGCCCGGTTTTGAACACCGACCGTGGGCAGCAGCGAGTTGCAGCTGGATTTGAAAGTGAGCTTCTTATCGACTGCGCTAACCCGGCCCCGAATTGCCTAGAAAAACAACTGCCAAAAAATACTGAGGTTGGATCTGCAATGTCTTGTAAAAGAAACAGAACAAACTATTTTTTTTAAAAACTAGATGCATAGTTTTTTTTTTTTGACATGGGTCAATTTAGAATAACCGGCTGTTAACATCGGCTGAAAGATCTGGTTGTTTGTCTACTTCTGGACTTTGGCTTTATTCCAGGACTTGAGTTTTGCTTGTACATCCGTTTTACAGGTCTTGTTTATTTGTGACTGCTGGTTCCTTGCCTCTCAAGCCGATGCACTCTCTTGAAAGAAAGGCGCCCCCACTTTCCAGGTGTCACCTCTTAACAACATGCTGTTCGGATTTTATTTAATGCCGTTGTGGGTTTTTATGTATGTTGCTATTTGATACTGATGTCGTCTTTTTGCCATTTATCCAATAGGTGTTTTGCCAGTGGAGTAAACATGAGCCCCATGAAAGCTTACCCGCCAGTTCAGTTCCCAGTCCCACGAGGTACCCCGCTGGTCGGTCCAACAATCTTAAACATTTGGGATCACTCCACCCAGTGGGATGTGCCCAGGGAGGAGGATTTTGTAGCCAGCAAGGGACAAGCTTCTTCTGATGCAGTCTTTGAGATTGATGTCTCCGAGGAGTCACCTGACCATTATCTGGTGAGTTCTCCCCACCCACATTGTAGCTGAATATCTAAGTTGTTCTTAAGCATTTCAGCCTTTAAGATTTTTTTTGCTGCAATTATCACCCACCTGCTGTCATCAGTTGATTCTTATGCTTCTGCATTCACATTGGTTGGCATATTGTATTGTGGCTTACAGCTGAGCTGTGATATCTGCTCCTTTCAGCCCATAAAAAACAATTTTAGCCCTCTCGCCTTTTATGATCTACCTGTTAGAGGCAGAGCCTTTTATGACATGTTTATAAGGGGCAGAGCCTTATGACATAAGGCGGAGCCGGTGCTTTTTTTTTTTAACCAGCCACAGACAACGTCACATGGCAGTCCAATATTTGAGGGTAGCAAGAGCAGAATTTCCGTGTTTTCTGTGCTTTAGCGCGTTTCTGCTAAGGTTTTCACGCGTTTACCCAACCCTTACCAAAACTACGCCTAATTTACCAACCTCTGAAAAATTAGACTGTCCCGTGACCTGTGGGTTTCCTTTGTTTGTGGTCAGCTAATAAGAATGTACCGCAGAGCCTCTTATTACATGCTTGATAGGGGCTTTAAAAAAAAAAAACCAGCCTAGGATCCCACAAGTGGATTTGCGGTTGACGGTTGGTAAGTTTTTGTAGGCTTGCCAGAAAATACTTTCTACTGTTGAATAATTAAAGATATATGTATTATATTGCCGGATGTATTGCCTGTTGTATTTCACCATTATCGCGTGCGGATATGCACTAAAACACACCAATACTGACTGAGCAAATAGGACGTCAAAACATTGCGTAGTGTTGTTAGGGAATTGGGATCTGTGGGATTCGTAGTCGAAAATTTGAAGAAGGCAGGCGTGTGGTCGGGCCTTGGTGGATCCTTGAGGAAGTTCTACCCCGGGATTCCACGTAGAAATTTCAGCCGAGAGCTGGTACATTATTGCGTTCTGCAGGAATATTTAAAACTATTGAATCACTCAGCAGGAAAGCTGGCTGAATCAAGAAGGCGGGACATTGCCCTGTTATGAAATATCAGACTGCAGATGAATTGGTTGAAGTAACTGTTTAGACTCTTAAGGTCATACTGTTGACCCGTAGGGAGTTGTTTAAAGATGTCATAAGAATATGGATTCTAATGTTTAAAGACGAGTATGAGTATTCTAGCGAGTGCTTGAAGTATTTGGGTGAGTTTAGCCACAGATGTGCACATTATTTCATTCGGATCATAGTGTTCCTAATACACCAGTGTTACTCTTCATACCTGGCCTTCGTCATTTTAATTCACGTTGTAGTAGTTGTCTGTTATTATTGTTATGGGTTCCTGTTGCATCATTGAAATTAATCTCTGGCTGTTTTTCCCACATCTAGCTTGTGGAATGTAATCTTTTATGCTATACTCGTCTTGTACCTGATCGCACGTTGAAAATAGGACCTACGCCTCTCAGCATCGTAGGCACACGTCTCAAACATACCTTGTCAAGTGTATCTAGAAATATAAACATAATAAAACAGAAAGCACAAAACAAAAATGGATTTGCTCAACTCAAATGAAAAAAAAAAAACATTTTAGCCTTCGTGGAAGGCAAACCTGGAAAAACAGACAGTAATTAGAACACTAGTTTGACAGGTCATCAATTTTGGAGAGATATCAAAACAAACTAAGGGGTTCAAGTACCTAGGCAGTGTAATCACAAAGAAAAAATGACTGGATAGGGAAATAGAAACCAGAATACAGAAGGCCAACAACATAAATTACCAAATACTGCAACTTTTTGAGACATGATAATATTAACATGAACACAGAAAAGGCAGCTGATAAATGCACTATTCAACTATTCATAATAACTTTATGCTGTCAGTGCCAGACATACGTCAGTCCTTGAAAAGCAGAAATGCAAAATTAAACGTGAGTTGTGATGTGTAAGAAATGTGATGGAAAAAACATGAAATGATTTCATGGAACATCAGAGACTCAAATGATTTAGTCATCTGGGCAGAATGTAACAAAATCAGCCAGTAGCTTAAGCGTACTACATGAGAACGGCAGGCTTTATGTCAAGAGGTCGACGAAGAAAGACATGGGTAGAGGGAGTAAAGGTTTCTACAGAAACGCAATACAACATTAACACAAGCTACGCAACCGGCCCAAAAAAAACCCAAAACAAACTAAATATAACGCCTCTGCCGCGCTTTGCAGCGTGAGCAGTAGGATAGACATAGTAGTGCACTATCTTATTGCAGCACCTAACATACATAGTTGTACGTAATACTTCTTCTTACATCCTCTTTTACTGCTTTGGGCGTCGAGAGAGATATAAGCTCCTGATTTGTGTTTTTCTGGCTGCTTTGAACATAGACACATGGTGGTGCTGTAGAGTTCCTCTTATGTTATCTTCCCATATTGTTCTTAGTCTACCTCTTGCTCTAGGTATATGCCTTGTATTGTATAGCAACTGAAGGCATTCTCTCCAAGTGGACAAACAAATTTGGTTTGCTGTCGTTTGTAATTTAGAATTAGTTCTCTGCTGACTTCATCTCTTATGACCTCATTCCTGATTTTATCTATTCTGGTCACTCCTAGTCTTTCTCAGACAGCTCATTTCTATGGTTTTTATTTTTTATTTTGTTCTGTTGTGGGTGACTATGTCTGGCACTGATAGCATAGGGTGGGAATGAAGATGCTTTGTGTGAATTTCTTTGTGCTGACTGGTATTTCCTTATGCAGCGGTTCTCAACCTATAGGTCGCGACCATTTTTTTGTGTCAAACAAGACTTCTCAGGGGTCGCCTAAGAACATCGGACAACAGATTCACTGAAGTAACGAAGTAGCAAGGAAAATAATTTTTTAATTGGGTTTTGTCACAACATGAGGAGCTGGATTAAATGGTGCGCAGCTTTAGATAGGTTGAGAACCACTGCTTTGTGCTGGAAGAGGGGGGCCAACTGTTCCAATACTTGGGGGCCTCCTGTACTGCATTGGATGTCAATTTCTTGGTCGAGTTTACCATCTTCACTGAATGTTATTCCAAGATATTTAAAACTCATACCTAGTTAATATATGTATGTTGTAATAGAATTTAAATTCTGCTTCTTTCTTCCTATTGATATTACTTCTGTCTACTTCTATCTTTTTAATGTGATTAGTTTTCCACCGGATCATTTTCTGTGCTGTATCTTCCGATGTAACAGTGGACATTTACTGTCAACAGGTCGGACATGCTATCGATGGCCGTGTGCTTTACCCAGCTACAGGCTACCTGGTTCTAGCTTGGCGAGCTCTAGCCCGGTTAAAGGGTGTGCTGTACGAACAGATGCCGGTTGTTTTCCAGAATGTCAACATTCACCGAGCAACAGTGCTGCCCCCAACAGGTATTTGTTGTTTTTGTCATTGATTTGTTTGCCTCCATATCCGGATCTTTACTGTCGTAAGCTTTTCACATTTTTATGGCATGCATAAACTTTAAAAATGGAGACAGTAGAAATTAAATGTCTGACGAATTCTAAATGAAACTAGAAGAGACAGGATCAAAAGTGACGAAAATCAGGAAACAAGTTGGAATGGAACGAGAGCTAAACTACATCAAGACACAGTTGATCACATGGGTCTGACATGTGTCGACTGCCACCAGATAGTGCACCAGAGAGATAGCCCTGTCACTTCAGACATAATGAAGGCAGAACTAGAGGTCTAACATGCAGGCACTGATAGATAGAATATTTAAGCCCATAGATACCAGCATTAATTTAGCATATGTCTGTGGCTTAGGCATTGTGAACGTGCTTAGTAATACCGGGTTTGATCCCAGCTACAGATGGTTTGTCTTGCATTGGCTTCAATATTGGTACTGGGAGCTGACTGTTTAGAGGCCAAAAAATGCTGGGGTTCTGCAATGTAGCATACACAGGTATGCATATCTTACATCTAAGAGAATCCATGAAGCTATCCTGTTACCTTTTATGCATGATGTCCAAGCTGTTTCAGATCATAATTGTCCACCTTTCCCAACAGGATCAGTCAGGTATACATATCTTACATCAAGAGAATCCATGAAGCTATCCTGCTACCTTTTATGCATGATGTGCAAGCTCAGATCATAATTGTCCCCCTTTCCCAACAGGAACAGTCACTCTCAGCGTGAGCATCATGCCAGCTACTGGGGAGTTTGAAATCTGCGAGCACGATGCCCTGATTGTCAGCGGCTTTGTTTCAATGCCCGAAGGCACCTTCCTGGACAGAGACCAGTATGCAGTTGTACGAGACTTGGCCAACAAGAAGGAGTCCACAGAGTTTGACCTCACCAGAGAGGACCTTTACAAGGAGTTGCGGCTTCGAGGCTACGAGTATGGGCCAGATTTTCAAGGTGTAGTTAGAGCAAGCCAATCAGGTAAGGTTCACTTAAGAAATGGAATTTAAAAGCTGTTCCATAAATGCAAATTTATTATTATTCCTACTTTCTTCATGAATTGTGGCTCTGACTTTCTTGGCACAAGCTAGTTTTTACTATTATTATTATTATTACTCCTGCAACCTGTGTCTATCAAGAGCACCAGTTTAATATTGTCTTGTCCTTATCGATTCCGATGAAGTGCAACGGATAGATCGGGGAACTGGCATCATAAACCCAGGTCGGCCCACCTTCTGAGATTGTTTAGGGAACCAGTGGGCCAAAACAATTGTCGAGGAAGGATTTATACTGATGAATGGTGAATCCCTGCTGTGCATACTCCTGTGTGTTCTTATTGTAACTACTAGCACTTTGTCGGTGTGGCAGATAATTATTAATGCTGCTAGTGTATACTGTAGTACTTAAATTACTTACTACTGCCACTACACAGTAGGACTTGTTGATACCACTACACAGTAGGACTTGTTGATACCACCACACAGTAGGACTTGTTGATACCACTACACAGTAGGACTTGTTGATACCACGTAGGACTTGTTGATACCACGTAGGACTTGTTGATACCACCACACAGTAGGACTTGTTGATACCACTACACAGTAGGACTTGTTGATACCACTACACAGTAGGACTTGTTGATACCACCACACAGTAGGACTTGTTGATACCACCACACAGTAGGACTTGTTGATACCACAGTAGGACTTGTACCACCCACGTACACAGTAGGACTTGTTGATACCACCACACAGTAGGACTTGTTGATACCACACACAGTAGGACTATACCACCACACAGTAGGACTTGTTGATACGACCACACAGTAGGACTTGTTGATACCACCACACAGTAGGACTTGTTGATACCACCACACAGTAGGACTTGTTGATACCACACAGTAGGACTTGTTTGATACCACCACACAGTAGGACTTGTTGATACCACCACACAGTAGGACTTGTTGATACCACGTAGGACTTGTTGATACCACTACACAGTAGGACTTGTTGATACCACCACACAGTAGGACTTGTTGATACCACCACACAGTAGGACTTGTTGATACCACCACACAGTAGGGCTTGTTGATACCACTACACAGTAGGGCTTGTTGATACCACCACACAGTAGGACTTGTTGATACCACCACACAGTAGGACTTGTTGATACCACCACACAGTAGGACTTGTTGATACCACCACACAGTAGGACTTGTTGATACCACCACACAGTAGGACTTGTTGATACCACCACACAGTAGGACTTGTTGATACCACCACACAGTAGGACTTGTTGATACCACCACACAGTAGGACTTGTTGATACCACCACACAGTAGGACTTGTTGATACCACCACACAGTAGGACTTGTTGATACCACCACACAGTAGGACTTGTTGATACCACCACACAGTAGGACTTGTTGATACCACCACACAGTAGGACTTGTTGATACCACCACACAGTAGGACTTGTTGATACCACCACACAGTAGGACTTGTTGATACCACCACACAGTAGGACTTGTTGATACCACCACACAGTAGGACTTGTTGATACCACCACACAGTAGGACTTGTTGATACCACCACACAGTAGGACTTGTTGATACCACCACACAGTAGGACTTGTTGATACACCACACAGTAGGACTTGTTGATACCACCACACAGTAGGACTTGTTGATACCACCACACAGTAGGACTTGTTGATACCACCACACAGTAGGACTTGTTGATACCACCACACAGTAGGACTTGTTGATACCACCACACAGTAGGACTTGTTGATACCACCACCACTTGTTGACCAGTAGGACTTGTTGATACCACCACACAGTAGGACTTGTTGATACCACCACACAGTAGGATTTGTTGATAACCACCACACAGTAGGACTTGTTGATACCACCACACAGTAGGACTTGTTGATACCACCACACAGTAGGACTTGTTGATACCACCACACAGTAGGACTTGTTGATACCACCACACAGTAGGACTTGTTGATACCACCACACAGTAGGACTTGTTGATACCACCACACAGTAGGACTTGTTGATACCACTACACAGTAGGACTTGTTGATACCACCACTACACATGACTTGTTATTACTACTACACATGACTTATTACCACTACACATGACTTGTTATTACCACTTCACATGACTTATTACCACTACACACTAGGACTTGTTATTACTTCACACTAGGACTTGTTATTACCACTTCACAGTAGGACTTGTTATTACCACTTCACAGTAGGACTTGTTATTACCACTTCACAGTAGGACTTGTTATTACCACTTAACAGTAGGACTTGTTATTACCACTTCACAGTAGGACTTGTTATTACCACTTCACAGTAGGACTTGTTATTACCACTTCACAGTAGGACTTGTTATTACCACTTCACAGTAGGACCTGTTATTACCACTTCACAGTAGGACTTGTTATTACCACTTCACAGTAGGACTTGTTATTACCACTTCACAGTAGGACTTGTTATTACCACTTCACAGTAGGACTTGTTATTACCACTTCACAGTAGGACTTGTTATTACCACTTCACAGTAGGACTTGTTAGTGTTGTTATTTTGGGAGAAATCCAAGACTTTCTTGCAGTGAGCGATTGTCTAGCGACTGTGCCACTGCATATCTAGCTTTATATGTTTAGTGTTTTACAGAATGAGGTAGTTGAAACAACTGTGCCTTCAGTTGCCTCTAATGTGCCTGGTAGGGTGCAGGGTTATTATTCTGCATGTCTCCTAAGGGAACCAGTCACACACAGGAGGGACATGTGTGTTAGTTTCTTGAATAATTTCTGTGACATCAGGTTGAGACAAGATTTATACCTCTTACAGGTGAGACTGGTGACATACTTTGGAACGGCAGGTGGATCTCCTTCATGGACACCTTGTTGCATTTGATGCTGTCAGGCAGTCGCTCCCTCCGTCTGCCCACGAGAATCAAGTCCGTCAAAGTGGATCCTAGGTTGCACCCACCCACACCAGCTGAAGGAGAGGACCCAGTCAGTGAGTATTTGCTGTCTGTTGTCTGGATGTTCCCACTTAGCAGTTAAGGTCTGCAGTTTTATAACTCCGATTTAATTAAAAACAAATAGAAAATGTAACCTTGCTTCCACGTGCTATGAAAATTAAGAAAATTATAGATTTTAAAATCAGGGTTGCACAGATGTTTATTTTCCTAGCAAACAAAGCAATATTAGTTTTATATTGGCAACCACTGTGACAGATCTGTCGCTGACTGTCCGGAAAGAATTCATAGCCAGACTGAAAAACTTTGAATTGTTGAATCTAAGAATCATTTGGAAACTTTAGAATCTCAAAAATGATTGAATTAAAAAAAAAAAGTTGAATGTCATTTTTGTAAACATTTTGCGGTCCTTTTAAATTTCTCTTTAAGCGTTTTACCAGTTACGTTTTTCTGTTCACAGTAATTCCTGCCTTCTCGGACCGTGTGTTGGACATACTCTTCTGTGGTGGTGTTGAAATTAAAGGAGTGCATGCTTCAGTGGCCCCCAAAAGGGCTTTGCAAGCTGCACCCACTCTGGAGGAGTACCGTTTCATCCCATTTGTGCAGACTTCAGATGCTGTACCCTCTGCCTCCCTGGAGCAGTACGCTACGGATTGTGTGAACTTCACCCTGACCAATTTGGAGAGACTGCTGAAGGAAGACAAAACTGACTTGCTGCCAAATAAAGACTTACTGCAGGAGGTAGTGACAAACAACAGACCTGCTGCAAGCTCACAGCTTCAGGAGAGGTTGTCCCAGCCTAATTCTGGCCTGGCCCAGGCTTTGGTGAAAGTCTTTAGTCTCCCAGTGTCCGGCCCTTTCAAGGAGAATGTCCTTAACCTGGTGCAGCAGCTGCAGCCTGAGCTGGCTTCAGATCAGCTGTTATCCAGTTTAAGCACACCAGAAGTTCTCAAGCCTTGTGTGGGGATTGTGCTTGACAATGTTCTCACCAACAAGATCAGTGTGTTCGAAGCTGGAGCTAATCAAAGTGCCCTCTACCGTAAAATCATTCCCATGATCCAAGAAGAACCATTGAAGAGTGTTAGCTACGTCGCAGCTGACAAATCTGCATTGAACAAAGATGCTAAGACATTAGGAGTTAAGCCCTCACAGTGGGACCTCAGTACATCGACATCTCTTCCTCCAGGGCAGGTACATCTCTTGGTGCTGAAGAATGTTCTTCATAAACAGGCCAACATTGAATCCAGTTTTCAGACAGTGTCCGGCATGGTGTCCCCAGAGGGTTTTATCCTGGTCGAGGAGGTCACCAAAAACTTTCCACTGTACCTAGCATTAGAAGCTCTCGCGGAGAAGCTGGCAGGTGATGACAGCTCTGCAGATTCCTCTGTATGCAGGGTCTGCGGCTGCTATCTCACTGAAGGGTCATGGGTGGAGATATTCTCTCGAAATGGCTACGAAGTGGTTTACCGAAGGTCAGACAACCTCTTATCTACGATTTTCTTGCTGAGAAAGAAGGCAGAAATAAAAACTCCACCCATCCTCTTCCCCATTGATGACCTGGAGTGCAATTGGTTGGACGATCTGAAGGCTCAGATGAAAGAGCTGGATAAGGCACCGGAAGATGCCAGACTTTGGTTGGTTGCTCAACAGGCGACAAATGGTATTGTTGGTTTCTTTAACTGCTTGAGATTGGAAGCTGGCGGTGATAAGGTACGCAGCATCTTTATCAGCAACTTATCGTCCTCCACACAGCCAAAGATTGAAGCATCCAGTGCCGAGTTCCAGAGCCTGTCACAGAAAGACGTAACACTGAATGTTTACAGAGATGGACAGTGGGGCTGTTTCAAGCACATACCTCTGCCTGAAGGTAATACCAAGGTTACCTTTTTATGTTTATGAGAAATCTTCACATTTATTCATTCTCCTTTTATTTTTTGGAATTACTAATTCATTATCTAGGTATGTGGCACAGATGAAAAATATTAACTGAGTGATGAATAGAATTTAAAAGTTATGAGAATGGTCAAATGTTGTATGTTCTGGGGTTCCATTCCGGGGAAATAAGAATGGTCCCACTGCTTCCCCGACAGGCAAACCGGGCAGATAATTAGGGGTGTTTCCTTCAAAGGCAGAGTGCTGGGCCTGAGAAGAAAGAAACCAACTGTCTGGATACAAATAAGTCAGATCTGTAAAGTGAATGTGTCTGCAAAACTCAAGTTGTGGAGCAAAACTGTAGTCGCAGAAATGGATGAAAAATCAGAAATGTCTGCCTGTGTCTACAGCCAATGAATGCAGAGAAGAGGAGGCCAGATTTTCATAGATCAGTCAGCCGGGAGGAATGATGGCGGTCTGAATCACTTTGGCTGCCTTTCACATTATTCTTCGTAATTGTTTTAGGCCGGGTCATTTTTAATCAGATTTGCCAGAATGCAGACTCAAACCTGACCTTTGAGCTGGCAGGTGATCATCTAGCTACTACGCCAGTGTATTTCCCTGATACAAGTTAGATTAGTTCATATTGAAGATACCATAGTGGATTATCTGGTTCCCTTTTCTTATTGTTACATAAGGTGCTAACAATCTATTTAATAGTGGTAGAAAGTAATCATCGAGTTCACACTGATCAATAAAAACATTAACAGATGAAAGTACACTTGGATTGTGAGCCAGTGCTTCTGAATGATGATTGCGTCTCCGTCTTCTTATCTCTTACTCCTCCAGTTACCTGATGAAAGTAAGACATACACACATGACCACACACTAAAAAAAAAAAAAAGAAAATAAAGAAAAATAGTATTAACAAAACACAGCAAACTAAATTAGTAGGTTCAGAAAGTTCCCTGAACTGATAACAATATACATACATATTTTTCATATTATATACAATAGACATATTTAGACTGAATAAATTTGGGGGATCTACAAATTTGATGATCTGATGGAGTGAAAAAAGCGATGAAACAAAGTGCATTCAATTAACAGAATTCCCTCATAAGTCGAAGGTACCCCATACTGGGGACTTTCTAGTGTTGCGGTGTCAGCTGGTTTTCTTTTCTGTAAGGCTGTTCTTGGTGCTGTGGTTCCATCTATTGCAGGTCGGTTCAACTGGTAGCCCGCAGGCCAAATCTGGCCCACAGAGACCTATCAAGTGGCCCGAGGATCCTTGCCAGTTGTTGTATTAATGATCTTTCTGTGCTGAGGCTCGGGTCTCTGGCCTGTCACAATAACCATTTTAAATATTTTGGCCCTCGGGTAAACTTACTTGAATAGCTGTAGTCTATTGCGTGGTCTCCCTCTTGCTTTTTGCTCTTATTTCTTTAACATGGCTTACCAAAAAACAGAACATTCTTGCCAAATTTTTTTTACTTATTGTTTAAATGAAACATTTTTAAATAGTGCAAAGTTCTGGTGAAGATAGTAAAGGCGACATTGCACGCCGACAGTGTGAATTCTTTCATTGTTGTAGTTCTCAGTTCTGAGATAACCAGATTACAAAGTCATACGGGTGGACATATGTAAGCCAGATTTCTGTTGTATTCGGTTACCAAATGTAAAATATACAAGAATGCATGACATGATAGTTGGGATTCTGAGGAAAGTCTGCGATTACTTCTCTACGATTTTGCCCATAAAATTTGTTTTAATGAACAGTGTTGTACTTTTCAGAAGCAACAGTGAAAGAAAAGAGCACAGACTATGCCTACATCAATGTATTAACACGCGGAGATCTGTCCAGCTTGAAGTGGATCGAATCTCCCCTCAGGTATTTCCACAAAAACGGACACAACACAGAACTGTGCAGCGTCTACTACACATCGCTGAACTTCCGTGATGTCATGCTGGCCACTGGCAAGTTGCCACCGGATGCCATCCCTGGCAACATGGCCACCCAGGACTGTGTGTTGGGAATGGAGTTTTCTGGCAGAGACTGCGCTGGCAAGAGAGTCATGGGCATATTGTCCGCCAAGGTATGGGAACTGTTTGTCACAGGTGTTAGAGAAGAATGCAGTAAATATCATGTATTGTTAAAGTAACTAATGTATTGATTGGCACAAATAGAAAGAAGTAGAAAGGTAGAACAACACTGTAGACAACATAAAAATCAAAAGCTAAGGTTACCGTGCCGGGAATCGAACCTGTCAACCTCCAGACTCAAGGGTTCCTTCTCTATTAATTTATGGGAATGACTATCATGGGATGATAGAAAAAAAAAACACATGGCAGTTCTATTCGAGACAAACAAAAGTCATAGTCTGTGTTTTTCAGAAATGTTGTGCAGTGGAATGCAAAGAATTTTGCATGATGATTAAAAACAAAGGCAGTTCTCCTCAAGGCAGTTAAAAGTAATAAAGTTAACCCTGTGTGGGTTGTTGTAGGGAAAACAAGAAATGACCTACTGCATGTCGTAAGAGTCGACTTATTGGGAGCTTCCATAAGTGTATCTGCCTGAGCGACAAGAAACTAGCAGTCTGCATGAAAATGAGTCGGATCTGTAAAACGGATGCACATGCAACACTCTTCTGGGGACCGGACTGCAGTCTGGAAGTGAACAACCAGAACTTGTCCGCCAGAGTTTACAGCTGGTGAACGCAAAGAAGATTTAACAGATTTAAAAAAATAGATAGTTGGTGTTTCTAAGACATGCTGTGTCAAGGAATGGACTCTAGAATAGACCCGCAGCACTCCTACAATAGCTTTGGGTGCAAACACCAGACACTTCTCACGGTTAAAAGTTTTAATGTTAGAGTCAGTGACTGGCTGCCTTTTTTCTCCCTCTGACCGTGTCCTTGGTTTACACTGACTGACAAGTTCTTGTGATAAAATTGTTTTAATGATAACTCATTGGGCCAGTGTTCCTGACTTAACTGGCTGTACAAGGCACAGTTTTGCAGGATCATTTTCTGTGACACACTGGTCAGCTACAAAAGCCTGTGTGTAAGTTTACTCCTGTCCTGAGGCATCTAAATGATGACCTGTCCAAACCGGTCAGTTAGATTTGTGGACATTATTAGACTTAATTCTGCTCACTTCTGATGTACTTAATGGCCTCAGTCTCTCTCACAGTAGGGGTTTGTGTGGTCTCAAGGCAGACTAGTGCATTGCTGCACATGTAAAACTCCCCTTGGCGGTTGAAAATCGAAGAGTAGCCTAATGGCGCTGCCTGGGAGAAATTTGTAGTTAAAAATTATACCCAAAGTATTTCAGAATCCTTGCCGATGCTACAAAGCCTTGAGTTATAAGAACAGAGCACCTGAGGGTTACTACCCGTGTGCCATGATGTTGATCTGTTGTTCAAACCTCAATCTCTCTTACAGTATGTTGCCCGATCTTCTATTTTTTCACATTCTTCCCCTTTCTTAGCAAGTTTATTTGCATTAATTAGCAATTTTATCTTGGTTATTCCATTGTTTCTGGCTTTTTTGCAGGGTTTGGCAACTGCAGTGGACACTGAGAGTCGGTTCCTTTGGCAGGTACCAGACAGTTGGTCGCTGGAAGAGGCAGCAACTGTCCCAGTCGTTTACTGCACAGCTTTTTATGCTCTGGTTACTAGAGGAAGGATCCAGAAGGGGGAGAGAGTCCTCATTCACTCAGGCAGTGGTGGAGTGGGACAGGTAAGGTTCTTGTTTTCCTCAAGTGTTCATTTTGTTTGCTAACTTATATCAGTTGTTACCATTATTAAGACATGCAAACATAGCTATGAGTGCAAAGAGACAGATTATAAACAGCATATTCATTCCACCATTAAGCTACCAGTGCCAAACATGGATAGACACTTATTCATAACGCATGTACTCAGTATCACCACTTGCGAGATGAGATGCTTGAGAAAAGCCGCCAGCCTAACCATCCGAGATGGAGTGAATAATGATACTCTGACAGATTGTGGGAACAACACCTTGTTCTAGATTCTGTGAAAAACAGCAGATCAAAAGGTTTAGCAATCTTTTTAGAATGCAGCAGTATCATACCATCACAGGGACTGGATCTCAGATCAGCTGCAAGAGGATGCCCCCGAAAAAGATGGATCAGAAGCACGAAAGACACACTACACATTCACGGCGTGACAATATAATTCTTCCCCATAACATGGCAGAAGTGGTTTATGATGATGACAAGCAGTGTAAGAGAAAATGGAGCAGAGGCGAGATTACTAATGTTTACATCAAAGGGCATAGAGAGCTTGTTTGTCAGGAACAAATGGGGTTCATCAAGGAGAGCTTTCTGACTCAAATAAATGTTATTGTTCACAGGGTATGGAGGGAGTATGTGAATGTGTATGTGTGTGGGGAGTAGAAAGGGAGTGAGGAGAGTAGAAGGGGAGTGAGGAGAGTAAAAAGGGAATAGTGATTTGTTCACTAATCTGCCATGTATTTGTGACACTGCACTTAGTTACTCTTATTTGTATTCTCGTTAGCTAGCTGTACACTCCAGCAAAAAGTATTGTTTTTTTTAAATCCACTTCTGGACTTTGATCTTGTTCTGGTATTTGAGTGTTATGTGCACATCCATTCTACAGATCCATCTTATTTGTGTGCAGACTGTTGGTTCCTTGCTTCTCCTCAGGCAGGTGCACTTTGACTTTGACGAAAACGTCAACCTTGTCTATGATGGCCAGGCCCCCACGCGGAAATCAGTTTATAGTATGACCGTGAAGAGTTGTAGCTAGCTCTCTGAGTCCTGGAACACCACCACATGTGGTTGACTCTCCGTGCATCCCCATGGTAAACGAACAGAAGACATTTGAAGTCTAATTGTCCAGTTTTTAGTTTCCATTCTTTTTCTTCTTCTTTGTGCTCACCAGCTGTAAACTCTCGTGGAAAGTTCTAAATGTTTGTCCACTTCTGGACTGTTGTCCTGTTCGGGAACCAGAGTGTTGCGGGTACATCCGTCTGACAGATCTGAAATATTTGTGTACAGACTGTTGGTTACTTGCCTCTTAGGCAGATGCACTCCGACTTCAAAGGAAGCCATTAATTAGACTCTTACGACATGCTTTTTGGGTAGTCAGTGGGCCTATTCTTGTTTTTCTTATAATAGGGCCCCAGAACCCACACAAGAGACTAGTGAGTTGGTTCTCAGTTCTATTAATCTGATTGATCTTGTCTCTATCACAGGCAGCCATTTCTGTGGCCCTCAGCTACGGTTGTGAAGTGTTCACCACAGTCGGGTCAAAAGAAAAGAAAGAATACCTGAAGAGCATATTCCCACAGCTGCAGGACAGGAACTTCAGCAACTCTAGGGACCTGTCATTTGAATTTGATATTCTCAAGGAAACCAACGGTGAAGGTAAGCTACTTGACAACAAACGGCTGGTTTTGTTTTGTCACACTGAAAAATAATTGTTTGTTTATTCCGAATATTTACAAATTTAACGCTTACCGGGTTCTGCTTACGAGTGCGTTACATACTGACTTACAGGTCATAAGTCGAGTTTATATTTGTCAACACTATTTTCATTCAGAGCTGTTAAAAAAATGTACATGAAATAAACAAAAAATTCAGTCTGTGTACATAAAATCATTGCACATAAGTATTTATGTACACTCTAGCTTCAGTTCAGGGATTTGTTTTTTAACCCTGCAAGTATAATCTATCTTTACTATTATTATTATTTATTTAATTTTGTTGTCTAAGTGCAGATCGTAATAAGTCGCATAGGTCATAAGTGTATGAGAAGGAGAATTTAACTATTTACTTATCCAGAATGATTCATAGTTAAATTAACTTATCCAGAATGATTCATAGTTAAATTAACTTATCCAGAATGATTCATAGTTAAATTTGCTTATCCAGAATGATTCATAGTTAAATTTGCTTATCCAGAATGATTCATAGTTAAATTTGCTTATCCAGAATGATTCATAGTTAAATTAGCTTATCCAGAATGATTCATAGTTAAATTAACTTATCCAGAATGATTCATAGTTAAATTTGCTTATCCAGAATGATTCATAGTTAAATTTGCTTATCCAGAATGATTCATAGTTAAATTTGCTTATCCAGAATGATTCATAGTTAAATTAGCTTATCCAGAATGATTCATAGTTAAATTAACTTATCCAGAATGATTCATAGTTAAATTTGCTTATCCAGAATGATTCATAGTTAAATTTGCTTATCCAGAATGATTCATAGTTAAATTAACTTATCCAGAATGATTCATAGTTAAATTAACTTATCCAGAATGATTCATAGTTAAATTTGCTTATCCAGAATGATTCATAGTTAAATTAACTTATCCAGAATGATTCATAGTTAAATTAACTTATCCAGAATGATTCATAGTTAAATTTGCTTATCCAGAATGATTCATAGTTAAATTTGCTTATCCAAAGAGTTATTTACAGGGTTTGAAATGAACTTTACTAACATAGATGTTATGCTCATCTAAAGAACTGCTAATGGCAACTGAAAAAATGTTCTCTCTCCTGGCAGGTGTGGATATTGTCCTGAACTCACTAGCAGATGACAAGCTTCAAGCCAGCGTTCGTCTTTTGGCCAGACATGGGAGATTCTTAGAAATCGGCAAATTTGATTTGTCAAACAATTCTCCATTAGGTCAGTACACGAGAGAGAACATAACTGTTTGTGACCTTTCTGTTGGATTCAGTCAGTGAAAGTAAAGGACCCTTTTCCTTGCCTTCAAGGAGTATTGGGCACATAAGGCTGGACCTATATTTTATAGACCAGTCAGCACTCATTGAGTGATGTGGTTATAGTCACGCTGGCCACCTTTAGTCCTACGACTGTACCTGGTACCCCTGTAAGACTGGGTCAGCTTGAATGCCAGGATAATAAAAAAAGAAGTCTGGGTCCTCTGGCTCCATCAGGACCCGAACACACTTCCTTCTGATCGGCAGGCGAGCGGCTACACCACAGCGGCCCCTATTGAAGTTTGTATTTAAAATATTTGTTCATATAATTTTGCTTTTTGAGATATTGTGGTCCATATGTGGCAGTGTTTGCTACCTTTTAGTCAGACTATTGTTGTCTGTTGTAGAATATATTCAACAATTAGACCCCTCTGTATTGTTGATCATTATTTGATAAGGTGCCTTATATATTTTTGCAGTTCTTCTTCTGCCTTTCTAACCCCTAATGGAGCATAGGCCCTCAACCAACTCACGCTAGGTTGTTCTCTATCCTTCTCTGTTGTATGCAGCTCTCTCCATGTCCTCTCCATCTTTTTAACTTCTCAATCTAGCTCCTTTCTCCGTGTTTTTTTTCTATACCCCATGTGGGTTCCATTGCTAAGGCATTCTAGTTATATTCTTTCAGGTTTTCTCGACGTGTGTCCTATCCAACACCAGCGTCTTTTCTTCATCTCTTGGTCCACTGGAACTTGTTTAGTTCTCCCCCGAAGCTTTACAATAGGGTTTCTAGCATCCATTTAATTGCCTCTATTCTGTGCAGGCACCAGTTAAGGAATTTTTTGCAGTTAGGGGGCATGTAAAAGGAGGAAGTGATTCAGGTGCACTTGTGCAGTCCTATGCATTCTTTTAGAGAGCATATCTCACAGGTTCTACAGAGGACTTGCTGCTATTTGAGAAAAGCAAGAAAATATAAACATGATTTCTTTGTGTGGCTTCTATGAACCCCTTTAATTAATTGTATTAAATAACAGGCCCATCACTCTTGAACAAGCATATCGTAAATAGCAGCTATTTGAGTTAGCTGAAATCAGTTGTGCTGGGCCTAAAGACTCAAGATATCACATCCTAGCTGTCAACCACATCATGCTACCTGCTCTTTTAAAGTTCTAATGCAAAAGTTATAGTCAAGTTGATTGATAAGATTTGCTTGTTGGGGATGCAGAACGGCTACCCGCCTGCCGAGAACGGCACACAAAGCACAAACTTCGTAGCTCCAGCAATGATCCCCAGGGGTCTTGGTAAAAATAGCACCTGTGACTACGCGGTGAAATGTCATGTTCCCCTTTTGGTCCACATTCAGGTGTATTGTGCTAGACATATAGTTTATATATTATATATTAGTTTATATACCAGGGGGCACTTAGTGGGTGAGGGGGGAGATAAGGTCAACATCATGCTGACAGCCTTTATTTCCTTGGACTTTTCCTAGTACCTATTTAAGACCTGTAGCATAGGCACATTTTTTTCAGTGTTCTTGCAATAAAATTGACATTTTTGTGCAGTTTCTTAGGGCACAGCCATGGAATTTACATTTCCTGTTAATTTCCTAGGTATGTCTGTTTTCCTGAAAAACGTCAGCTTCATGGGCATTCTGCTGGATGCTCTGTTTGAACACAACACACGGGAATGGGAAGAGGTATCCAGCCTCGTCAGCCAGGGCATGACCACCGGAGTGGTGAAGCCCCTGAAGGCCACAGTGTTCAGCAAGGATGAGGTGGAGGATGCCTTCAGGTTCATGGCCCAGGGCAAGCACATCGGGAAAGTGTTGATCCAGGTCAGTCTGTTCATGAGTGCTGTTACAGTGTTGTCACAGGCCTGTGGCCCAGGGCATCTAGATTTCATCATCACTTCCATCTTATGCCGTTGTATGTCTCATGAGGCACATTCCCCGTGTGGGTTCTGGGGCCCTATTATGGGGAAAACAAGAACAGACCCACTGCCTACCTATAAGCATGTTGTAAGAGTCGACTAATTGGGAGCTTTGTTCGAAGTCGCAGTGCATCTGCCTGAGAGGCAAGGGACTAGTCATACAAATGAGTCAGGTTTGTAAAACAGATGCCTATGCAACACTGAGGTTCTGGCACAGAAGTGGACGCCCAACCAGAACTTTCCGCCGGTGAATACGAAGCAGAAGAAGACACAAGGCACAGCGTTCATTCTTCTGCAGTCTTCTATCCTGCCCATTGATTCCACAGATGGAATCTAGTGCAGCACCCGGGGCCTCTGTCATCATTTATTCATCCTAGGGTTTCCTGGAATACTTTTTACTGCCCCCCCCCCCCCACCAATTTGTATTTTAAATCACAGTTCACTGAACATAAATAAAACATATTTACCTTTGTACATTCCCCCCAAAATATTTTAAGATTTGTAAACGAGGTAATTAATAAATACTAACAGAGGGAAGCATTACATTTTGTAAAAAACAATGGCTAATGTGGCTGATGACTTGACCTGATAACCTGTCACTGAGGCTTTTGAGAAAATTGGACACCAACTTAGCTTTAAAAAAAGACTTTGGTTTTATAAAGAAGCCCTCCTAATGCTATTTTTAATTTCTGTTTTCTTCATTTTCTGACCTATTAAACACTTCAGGCACACATAGAACCCCTGGACCGTAAACTGTTTTCAAGGACAGGTCGCTGCTGACAGGCCAACATTTAGGAATTTATGGAACGGCTAGATGTGACAAAGCTTTTGTCTGCTTGGGGCGACAGGGTTATGTAGGTTATGTACATTTGGTGATTCTCGGTTCACTTCTCTTCAGGATATGCCCCGTATATCACCACCAAGCATATGAGCAAGACCTGTAAAACGTATGCACACGCAAAACTCAGGTCATGAAACAGTGTCCAGAAGTGTAGTACTGTAGGAACAACCAGGTCTTTCCGCTGTGGTTTACAGCCTGTGAATGCAAACAACAAACACATGAAGGTTGTCTGCAGTAAATCTCCAATGTATTCTATAGACAGATTTACTTGGTCACATGGTCTTTAAAGAGTTAACGATAATTGGTGGAATTCTTTCTTGTAGATTTGTGCTGACACATTTGCCCTAAAATTTCTGATGCCTGTCATGCAGTTCCTGTTTTTAATCGAGACTATTCCCGTTTGTAGGTGAGAAGTGAAGAACCTGAAAAGGTGATTGAAGCCCCTAGAGTGTCCATTCCAGCAGTTTGCAGAACCCTGTGTGATCCATCTAAGTCGTACGTCATCACTGGAGGTCTGGGAGGATTTGGTCTAGAGTTAGCTCAGTGGCTCGTGGAGAGGGGAGCCAAAAAATTGGTCTTGTCGTCCAGGTACGTCTGCAGGGTTGGTTGCATGATGTGGGAGTCATGTTTAGAATCTGTGGATAGTATGGTTTTGTTGTTGTTTCATTAGTGTAGGCTTTGAGAGAGCTGAAGAACTTTGTTGTAAAGGTATTGATCGAACAAGCTATTGAAGAGTGATGTGCCAGCAAGATAGAGTAGTAGAATTTAACGGGCTGTCAGATTTGGGTATTAATCACGAGAGTCAGCCCATCTTGTCTGTGCGCAAGATTTTTGGCCGGCTCCCATTCACAGTTGTGCCAGTTTCCACAGGCTGTCCTATATTGTGGGTAAATCATGACATTCTGCACTATTGACTCTCATCTGTATACCTGGGGGGTCAGAATAGTGGAGTTACAGATGCTGTGGGATTAGATTGTGTGGAATAAGGGTATGTAGATTTTGTAAATACGAATGTTGTGCCGAAAATGAGGCTGCACAGCATGGACTTTATATTGCTTAGTGCCATGGACCTACGGTGCCAAACACGTTGAGTCAGCCATTGAAATGAGGACTATCTCAGATGTGGGTAGAGGTGGACAATATCTGCATCAATAAACCCCAAGGGCTCAGAATGTTGATAAAGAAGTGTATTTGACCACTGCAGTGATTTCCACAATTTTATGGAGTACCAGCTGTTGAGCAGGCAATGACCAGCTACTGAAGGCAAACAGTCAACAAATGTGGGCGTTGATTTGCAATATCTGTAAAGGCTGTGCAGTTAACATTATTATTATATATTTATTTTTCATTGCGTATAACATTATTATGTATTTATTTATTTATGATTGCGTATAACATTATTATGTATTTATTTATTATTGCGTATATGTATGGCACACAGCATCTGCAAGCAGGTTGAAGTAACAGACTTGAGATTATGAATCTTTCCCATTGCAAGTCATTTACTCAGTGCTTGAAGAAAACAGTGCAAGCTTCTTTAACTGAAATGCTACAGAAAAATTGCCAGAGTATCATGGGCCAAGAAAAAGAATTGCACCAGCATCCTACATTGTTGTGGTCTGAAGAGAGAAGTCATGAACATTTCTGGAAAACAAGGCCGGGGCAGACCTCGAAGGTGGATACAAGATACATTTGCTGTAAAAGCACACGGGGCTGAAGAATTTGCTAGAGAGACTTTGAGGTGTGGTGTGACAAGAGCTACATT